TTCATTTCTAGCAGCTTGATATAGGTTTTTTATTTCTTTATTTCTGTAATTCTCTTCTACTTCTTTTAGCTTATTTACTATGTATTTTCTATTCTTTTCTCTCAGCACCCTGTTTGCTTTTTGTCTTTGCTCCATATATCTATTTTTTGTCTCTGTTGTTTCTTTCGTGATCATTTCCATCCTTAATGCTTTTCTTAGTTCTATTACTTTTTCAATTAATATTTATATTTTTGCTCCTTAGCCAATCTACTATTCGAGCCTTTCGAGATACAAAAGTCGGTATTTTTTCCATACGACGGCTCTGATAAGATGCATTGTCCATTATAATTACCGATCCAGGTTCTACAAGAGTCAGTATAGGGGAAAACCACTATTCAAACACATCCGAATTCATATCATCATGATAATCGCCCGTTGGTTGAGGTAAACACATTTAAACCACCTTTTAAGAAACCCATGTCCGCAATAATGAGACGTCTTCCTTTGCCCGAAGATGTTTTAAGCCGGTTGGAAGTCCCTCATTAAAAGCCTGCTGAATATTTAAGTTTTGCCATACTTTAGATTTCATATGACCCTCTTTCAACCACGTTTCGTCCATATAATTAATTTTTTTTTCAAGACGTCTAAAATGACGAGTTTTTATGTAAATATTCTCTTCGTCATATCACTAGTTCGTCACTCTCGACTAACAAACTTTTGGGACTTCTCTTTACATACCCAAAATCCATTTTACGTATTGTAATACCCGTATGGATATTTTTTTAAAGTATCATCTGTTTCTGCATTAATTTCTCGTTGAATAGCCTTTAATGGGGGCTTTAATTTCGTTCGTAAAATAAAATCCATGAACTTTTCTTAGAATTATACTTTTCGTAATATCGTCCAATACAATTTTTGCACGTCCTTTATGAATAGGTTTTTGGAGTGGTTTGTTACCTTGAATTATTCGGAAAACCGTACGAGCCGATACTTTCGTCAAATCTCCATACAATGCCGCGATGTCCTCATTTAACATATCTTGACTTCTACGTAATCCTCATAACCGATTAATCATGTTTTCTCTCACAGATAACCACCTCTTTTTATCCTGTTTATCAACAGATGCACTGCACGTTGGTTTTGATAATATGTTGCTCGACTGTGCCCTCATGAAATACTTCTGTCTAAGTGATTTTAATATTTCTTTACACGATTAACCGGCGAGTTTTCATAAGTGTTGCCGAATTGCAATAATAATATTACTTTCGAAAAAGATAATGTTGCCCGCTTGTCCCTCTCTTGACATTCAGGTATACCTCAACGGAACTGATAAGTTGCACGCGGTACTAAATAATAAATTTCGCAAAAAGGCTAGTCTACTTTATCCAGCTCGGCCGTATATCAGATGTAACCGACAAAAATAGTAACTGGGAACTACTTACTTTACTTTATCGTGTCCGGACATGTCATTCATAAAATTTCGGCCCAGTATCGGGCTACGTCGGTTCCATCTTTGTTGGCGAGCCACAAATCTTCAAGGGTACATCGATGAGGACAGTTTCTGCATGTAAGAAGATGTTCCATATTCTGTGTTTCTCCACAGTCACAGTTCACATCATCTTGGTTTATTTTTCCCCATTTTGCCATGTTTGATTTTACTGTAGCAACCCCCGTTCTTATCCTATTTAAGGTTTTCCACGTTTTAAAGTCTAGGGTCTGGCCGGCCCATTGAACCTGGGGAAGTGGAAAATACTCAGGCGGTTCATCCTTCACTGTTCCAAGGAAGCTTTTCCTAGATTTTAGTCGCTTTCGTGGTGTTCGAGTTTTGTACAGGGCATGCCGATCGTCCGCGATCTGTTTAATTTTCTCTATGTGTTCTGCAGCGCCTCTGCGTGTTGAGGGTTCTGCAAAACCCGCTGCTCTATATAGATTTGAAAGTGGCGTTGGTTTCATGCACCCTGTTACTATCCTGCATGTCTCATTTAGCGCAGTATCAACTTGTTTGGTGTGGACAGATCTGCTCCAAACGGGGCATGCATATTCAGCAGTTGAGAAACACAGTGCCTGTGCCGTTGTTCTTAAAACGCCAGGACGTGCGCCCCATTTACTTCCCGTTAGCTTTCTGAGTATGCTGTTCCTAGTTGTTACTTTCCCTCTTGTTTTTATGCAATGTTGTCTGTAGGTGAGGGACCGGTCCAGAGTTACTCCAAGATATATAGGTTGGTTTGTGTGTTCTAATGTATTACCATTCCACACAATTTGGAGTTTTCGCTTGGCTTCCTTTGTGCGAAGGTGGAAAGCGCAGACTTGGGTTTTAGAGGGATTGGGTCTCAGAGAATTCTGCAGGTAGTACGCTGTCATTGTTTTTAAGACAGTTTCGAGTTTCTCCTCCACTTCTTTAAAACTATTTCCTTGAGCACATATTGCAAGATCGTCAGCATAGAGGAAGTGCTTGGTTTCGGTCGGAGTAGGTTGATCGTTTGTGTATATATTGAAGAGCATTGGTGCTAAAACACTTCCCTGTGGGAGGCCGTTTTTTTGAACTCTCCACCTACTTACTTTACCCTCCAGCATAACGAAATAACGTCTATTTTGCAGTAAGGAATATACGACCTTTCCCAGATGGTGGTCATTGAGAGTATCGTATAATTTGCGGAGCAATGTTTTGTGCCTTACTGTGTCATAGGCTGCTGTCAGATCTACAAAAGCAGCCCCTGTTATAAGTTTTTCTTCAAAACCCTCTTCAATGTGTTCTGTTAATGCGAGGACTTGACCGGTGCAAGATTTGCCAGGTCTGAATCCTCCTTGTTGTGGGATGAGGTGCTTGTCGACATTTTTTTCTATTCTGGCGAGTATGAGTCTCTCGTATAGTTTAAAAAAGTGACACAATAGCGAAATAGGTCTGTAGCTGCTGGGGTCTTCTGGATCCTTTCCTGGTTTTAACAAGGCTATTACTTTAGATTTCCTCCATGATTTTGGAATTTTGCAGGTTTTGCAGCACGTGTTATAAAATTGCAAGATCCAGTTTTTTGCTCCTTGGCCTAAATGCTTTATTTGTTCACTGCATATATCATCCACACCTGCAGCTTTCCCGTTTTTTAACCTGTTCAGACCGTCGTGAAGTTCTTTTAGAGTAAAAGGAGTTCCTAGGTGGTTTGTCTCCGAATCCAATCTTCTCCTAGTGTTTGGGTCCTTATATCGGTTCGTAGTTCTTCCATTCGTAAGGAGTTGAGTAGCGACTTGGTTTGCTGTAACCTTGCAAGGTGGTTTATGTTCTTTTGGATCACCGCTGAGTTTTTTTACAAGGTTCCATGCTATTTTGCTACTATGTGTCATGTCCATTTTTTCCAGGGTCTCAATCCACTTTTCCTGTCTGGCTTGACTTAGCTGTTGGAGTAGTACTGCTCCGCAGTCAACCGTTTCTTGGCTAAAAGGGTCAGTGGAATAGAGGGTTTCGTATGTACTCATTAGTTCTTTGGACTCGCTGGACATCCCGGGAACGTATTGTTGTCTACATCCTCTAGGGATAGTTTTTCTAGACACATTTTTGAGTACCTCTACGAATTTTTCGTAGTTCTCTACTTTTGGTTCAAGGCGTAGTAATTCAAAATCTAGCATGTCTGCATACTTTTGCCAGTTTGCCTTTTTGAAGTTAAATCTCCTTCTGAATGGAATAGCTTGTGGTCTGACAATTGGGAAGATATTTATACCAATTGGTCTATGCTGAGTTTTTGGTATGGGGCCATATACTACTTTGGTACATCGGTCTTCGAGGTTGTTGCTTGAAAAACAGATATCCGGGTTATATCCTCTTTTCCAAACTTTGCTACGAAAAGATGGTGGAAGTTTAGGATCATGGATTAACGTGAGGCCACTCGTTTCGGCCCATGCTTCTACTGCGTCTCCATTTGCGTCCGAATTTGCATAGCCCCAGAGTAAACTGTGACTGTTAAAGTCTCCCAGTACAAGCTGATTGGCTTGTGATTGAAAATTAGTTGGGGGTGAAAATATAAAAGGCTGGTTTGGGGGCTTGTATACCGAGGTTATTGTGCATTTTCCGATCTCAGTGGTTATTATCTCTATACCGTGTACATATGTTGTTTCCACAGATGAGACTATGGTTTGAGTTCTCACAAATACCGCGCTCCCATGCTTATTGTGTGGTATCTCCGCAATCAGTTTCATACCAGAGACTTTCGGTCTCGCTGCAGTTAGGTCTCTGTGGGTTTCCTGGATGCACAATACCTCACATTTCGTGTTCATGCAGAATTCTGATAAAATGTCTTGTTTGGCTGTAGTGATGCCCTCGATATTTATGCTCGCTACTGTCAGTGTTGGCTCTGAGAAGAACCGTTGTGGCTTGATCTTTGCCATCGGATTTGGTTTGGTCCGGTGTTGGAAGGATTAGCCGTCTACTAGTAGACGTTTCCAGGGGACGCCGTCAATAGTGTTTCCTTTGCAGTTGATGTGGCACTATTGATCTCGTGGAGGCTCTTCCGTGTCCCCGAACTGGGAACTGAATTTGTGTGTTAATAAATAAATAAATGTATAGCCGCTTACCACCAAGTTTTTACGAACTACAAAATCTCTGCCCTGACAATCCTATTGAATTTCAACTATAGGCGTTTCTTTGTTGATCTCGGCACTTCTGAACGAGTATGTAAGTGCAAAAAGAGGTTGCCGTATCCCACAAGCGTTGAGGAAACCAAACTGTGTATTGTTGGGAGAAAAATTATAGGAATATCGTTCATAACTGTTGTATAATCCAAGTTTTTATGATTTCTTTCTCGTCAATCATAAATTTGTCTCTGTCGTCGAATAAAACATGAGGCAAGTTCTTTCGCTTTTCATCCAGATTCCACTATAAAACACGTCAACTTTGAAGGAAAGCTGTAACATCAGCTATTTGTTATAAGCGCCATCTATTATAGAACTACAAAACTTATTGAAAAAACATATACTTTTTCTGTAATACTGAAGCAACTGTTTTAAATACATGTGAATATTTTGTTTCAGTGGTGTATCTGTTGATCGAGATGCGGTCAGTAAACTCGAAGAGAGAAGAAATCGCTTCAAAAGAAAGAAAAACTTCAAGCTATTAGCGGCAGAAACAGAATCTGCTCCTGAAGCGGTTAAAAAAACTTCCGTGGAAGGTAAGGTGGATGATCCACAAGAACCACAAGAGCCACAAGAGATAAATGTTTTCGAAGATATTTTATTTCGAGAGCCATCAGTGATAAAGGAGAAGCTTTTGCCCAGGAGACTATATTATAAAAATTGGGTAGCTCTCATATCATCAGACTTCGATCGTAAATATACACCGGAGGACGTCGGCTGTTCCAAGAATTGTCCGAGAAGTAAGAAAATTAGTCTGGACAACAACCTAATTGCAGAATATGATAATTTCGAAGTTTACGATATGGACGATACAGAATACAACGTGAATTATAACGATGCACCTAATTGCTCTTCCTTTACTTGGATATTCCAGGAAAACGATTCGGGTACATTACCCGACGAGAATCATTGTATTGCATCATTGCGGCTTACGTGTTATTTACGATCGAAGTTTCTCCGTGACAATAACATACCTTACAATAAGCCTTACAATGAATACAAACAAAAGTATTTGCAGTTCAAGAGACAATTTTTCAAGGAAGAGGACGAACGATGGCAGAATATGCCCATCGACACTCTGGCCGATCAACGTAAAAGGGACGACTACATGACTAAGTTGTTTTCTCCCTATCATAATACGGACGAACAAGTCGTCGAATTAAAACAGAAAGCCAAGTCGATGATTCCTTACAAAGATTATCATCCGGTCAACGGAAAGGTTTTTAGGACTGGCGTCTACAGATTTCTACCGTATGTCCAAAGCGATGCGTCAATTTTAACAGTTTCCGACTACCATGATGAAAAAGACGGGATAAAGAGTCAGTTATTTGTTGAACTAGAAAAACTTTCGGATAGTGTTTTTGATTCTGGAATCTTTAGCATAAAAGAGGAGCTTGATTCGGACGATTGCCCGAAAGAAATGTGTCAACTGGACAAGGAAGGGGAAAACAATAGTAAAAGTATGCTTAATGAAACTATTAATCGTGTAGATACACAGGCGATTGGAGAAAATGAAAAAAATGTCGTTATAGTGATAGATGATAAAAAAACTGAGGAAAATTCGACGAAAGAAAATGTTGAAAATGGAATTACTGAATGCAATGCATTGCAAACTAATCAAAATCCAGAAAAAGGTGACAATACAATTGAAGCAAATACGGAAACGGGCAATACTGAATGTATTGATACAGTAAAATCGACAAGTGATAAAAATCCAGAAAATGGAAATACAAATACAGAAAACACCGAAGTTGCTACATCCAAAAGCCCTGATAATTCTGAAAATGAAGATAAAACAAAAAATACCGAAACCGTCAATACACAAGAAAGCACCGATCATGATGCTGTCGACAATTTCGATGTAATATCCATAATGAGCGATCACGATTACTGCGCCGTACCTCCAGAGATTCCTAATGTGTTAAAAGACAGCAACAAGAGTAATATACAAGAAACGTTTGTTCCCATGAATACTGCCGCAAAAATAGTTCCAAGAAATGTTCGTCAGATAATAGCGAAGGAAAATAAATTCAAGGTAAGGATGAACTCTTCTGCTTATATAAATTAACTAACTTATTTGCACCTATGACTTGCAAAAACTCACAATTAGGGTGACATTACAATTACGCTAACATATGAACTTATAATTAACATATTTACGCCGTACTCCACGAGAAATATCCCGCTTCCAGTCAAATTTCACGTGAAATGTAATGTACTACGTCGAATTCTACAAACATTTTAGGTCCCAAATACCGTTTTACGTTAACTATTACGTTTTACTTCGTATTTTACGTCAAACGTCACATTTCAGGTTACATTTAACGTCAAATGTCACGTTTTACTTCATATGTCAGGGTCCACATATCATTTCACGTCAAATGTCACGTTTTACGTCACAAGTAACGTCATTTCACTGTCAAGTGTTATTGCGATATTGCATATTACATCAAATTTTACGTATCATGGCCCATTTCATATCAAATGGAACGTTTTACGTCAAATTTTATTTAACCCTTAGTCTCCCCGCGATACTTTTGAGTACCACCAAATTCTGGTGCCCTTATATCCCAAGTATTGAAGTAGATCTAACACTTAACACATAAATTTGCACTCAAAACCGTAGTTATCAACTGATGTTTAATACTTCAAATGTCATTCAAACGTTTTCGTTTTAAATACAAAATAAGATTTGTAGGTATTTTAAAGGACCGTTGGAAAGAAACAACGCTTTTAGCTTATTGTGAAAAGCTATGACCAATAAAATAAGGTAGACTTAAAAGTACCGTTGGTAAGTAACTGTCAAAAAAATCTAAACGTAGGAGACTAAGGGTACAATGCGACATGGGAAGTGGGCTTATTCACATTTGGGCGAATGGTTGAAACTTTCCATAGTATTTCTTGTGCAGAAGCTTTAAAAAAGCTTTTGTTCATTTTAGTATTCGTTTCACTTTACATTTCACGTCAAATATCACGTTTTACGCCACATTTCACGTTCAATATCACGTTTCACCTTTCACGTCGCATTTTACATCATATGTAAAATTTTACGTAAAATATAATGTACCACGTTGACTTCAACAAAATTGTCAGTTGCCACGTACTATTTCACGTCAAATATCACGTTTTTCTTCCCGTTTTACTTGAAATGTTACATTTCGCAAACAAAATACAAAACAGATGTTGAAGATTGTAGATTGTGAGTTTAAATAACTTTACTTTATTTAAGCACAGTAACAAACGCTTTATTTTACAATTTGTGTTTAACAAACTAGGTACTAAGTTTAAAAACTTGACTCTTTGCTATGTCTTATGATAAAGCGTGATGAAGCGAAATAATTTGGCGTAGCGCGAAGTGTTTATCGTCAGAATTCTGGCTGGAGTGATTTCTTCTAAGAGTATGAAATAATTGCGTATAATGTACTTGGTGCGCGAACTGAAGAACTAGTGAATACGTAGATATCGCATGGTGTGACCGTTTCAGCTGGGAACTTGAGGATGTTTTTTTACCTCTCAGAAGAAGCAATTTAAGCTAAGCGATCGGCACTGATCGGAAGTCCGTATGACGTCAACGTCACGCATCGCAAAAGTTGCCTCTGGTCTGGAAGCAACACTTCGGCATTGCTGATGGTGCCGTCCATACGATGCGGAACGGTGGACGCAGTTACATAAGTTTTTATACAAGGCAAACTAAAATCCGATGCGGACCTGTGGACTTTGACCTGACCTGACCCAGAAACAAATAGAGAAGTTGCTCACATTTATAGGGAATTGTAGTAACGGTCCTTTTAACGAGCTTTTTATTGCCTTCAAATTTAAACTCAAGCAATAAAACGTTTTTTATGATCAATTTCAGAAACCTTTAAGAACGATAAAAAATATTGGTGAGTAATTTATGGCCTTAAATTACGTATGCAAAGGTAATAAAGATATTTTACAACCAATTACTAAAACCAATTAACGAGAAATAGATATGCAGGTGTCGGATCAGATTACCTGCAGGTGTAGATTAAAAACAGTTTAAGGGATTTTGAGCCATTTAAGGTAAGCGTCCACAGATCCGCATCGGATGCATCGTACGCATCGGATTTTAGTTTGCCTTGTATAAAAACTTATGTAACTGCGTCCACCGATCCGCATCGTACGGACGGCATCATCCGCAATGCCGAAGTGTTGCTTCTAGAGGCAGTTTTAACTTTTATTATATATATATATATATATATATATATATATATATATATATATATATATATGTGTGTGTGTATATTCAGAAAAAATATTACAGGCCATGATAAGTTGATTATGGGGATTATACATTTTTCATGTTTATTGGCTTTTCTCAAAATATCTTGAGTATCTAACTATGAAAATTATTCTCGTTAAAAAAACAACACCTTTTTCTAATTACACCTATTCGAGTTGTTAATGATGTTTACTGAGAGAAGTGTAAAATTGAATGTTTATAAAGTGAATAAAACACGTAAATTATAAGAATTATTATTTTAATTTTACAAATTAATACTTAATAATAATAATAATCTATTTGTCAAATCAATTTGAAATTTTAAGTTGGGAATAAGCCGGCATACTCCCGCCGACAAATCCGATCGCTGCCGATACAGTGGACGCAGTATGAAAAATTAATCCGATGTCTACGATGCGGACCTATGAACGCTTAGCTTTAACTAACTTTCGATCCTGTTTTTGTAGTAAAGATACATTTAAAAATAAATATATTGCAACGAACTATGCTATAGAGACGAACTGTTTATATTTTATAAAGAAATATTAGGGCCGTATTAAGAAAGAAATATGTTTTGGTGATATCGATACGTAAACTCCAAAACCTCTCAACTGACAATCTTCAAATTTTACATGATGGAACTGTTTATAAATTAACGAAAAATATCTGTTTTTTTGTTTTCGTAAGTCACAACTTTTCCATGCGATTTGGATTAAAAATTACTGAATTTTAGTTCACATTAATTATTTCAGGTAGTTGAGGGTTTTTAAACTTACATCTAGAAATCCCGATTTTCAGTTTTGGAGTTATATAGATATGTTACAAGGCTGTAACAACAAATGTGTACAGTGCCGAGAACACATTTATTGTTTATTCGCTTTCAATTTTGGTGTTTTGATGTTTGCTTTATTTTAACATTTTGTTGTTTTTTAATCTTTTTACCTTGCTTCTGCATTTAATCTTACCTTACCATTTTTATGTTAATAATGAACACTTTCAGGACCCTTCAATGGGACCGCCCCCTGCGAAGAGAAGAAAATTGACCCAAAAACAAATAGAGAAGTTGCTCACCAGCAAAATAAAGCCAGTGAAAGAAATGAAGTTTGAAAAATTCTTCTCTCAAAACTACCATCCTGGATTCGATGAAGGTAATTATGAAGTCATACATTTTACATTTACAGTTCTAATTTTAGTGTTACTTCAATAACATTATTGTTATAAAATACTATAACACTGAATTATACTATAAAAAAGTTTTTCTACTCTCTTACTAGTAAATTGTATACAGTCTGTCCCAAACCCTTTTTTCAGTGCGTCACTAATTTTAACGTCATATAGGATTTTAAGAATGTCGAGAATTATTGCATGACATTTTAGTTAAATCTGACAGTTGCAGGATCGTAATCGGCTAAACGTGAAAAGGTTATTTTTTTTAATGCATAGCAGTTTTTCATAATTCTATTCTATTCTGTTCTATTTTATACATTCCATGGAAAGTGCTTAATTAGCTAAGATTTGTTTATGGATTTATTATTATTTATTACAAACACTAGGGAATTGGAAGGTTTGTTTATTTAAAATAACGCTTCCTCCTAGAATCTTTTAAGAGTTGACTGCAAGGTAAAAAAATTTACTGACAATTGCAAGGCATCAAAGTAAACATTCCTGTGATAAAATAATATCGATTTAAATCAGTCATATTTGGATAAGTAATTTTCTGATAAGTTTGTGTGGCAGCCAATAGTTTAATTTTGTGAAGAGTTGTCATTAAATAGTGGAAATAGTTTAAATAGTGAAGCAGTTGATTTTTAAGTTATTCTACCAGATTTGGTGTGCAAATGAAAGAAGGTTATAAAGTTTAGTTAAAAAAAAACAATATAAATAGTTTAAATAGTGAAGCAGTTGATTTTTGAGTTAATCTACCAGTTCCGATATCCAGATGAAATCGTGCTAATGGAGTTTAGTTAAAAAACAAGATACCGAATGTAAGTTTACCTTCTTTTTTATGAATAACAAAAATGAATATTATATTTCAAACAATATATAATCCCATTCAGAATCTGATTCTTGAAAATCAATGATTACACTAGATATGTGGCTGGTATCAATTATATCCTACATTTCAAGAAAATGTCGTGGTTCTAAAAAGAACCGTTTTAATACATATAAATATCCATAAAGGCATTAGTTTAAGATATTTCCTCAATCTCATTCCGGAATTCACAATCTGATTCGCGAACGACAGAAACTGATAATAAAGATGTCTCAGCCTCTTTTTCTAATTGAAACTAATTTAATAATTTTAATATTAGTCTTTTTTCATTCTCGGTATATCTCGGAATATTTAAAATATTTTTATGACAATAAATACAAAATTTAATTTTCACTGTAGTTAAAATGTCTGAAAATACTAACCTGGAATGGCAATTATCATTTTATCAGTTGACATTGTGAAAGTACTGTCACTGTCATTATCAAGATCATCTGTGTCAAATTATATTTATATGCATAATTGATTGGATATCTATTTAGCGTATTCTAAACTCCAACCAATTATACGTTCGTAAGTAGAATTCGCTTTAATATGCGAATACCCGTGAACGATACCTAATTTTCTAAGTTCTATGTATAATAATCAGAGACTCACGTTTTTTTCTGTCACTTCTAGCTTAATGCGTTAGAGAGAATTCGAACAACTATGACGCACTGAAAGAAGGGTTTGGGACGAACTGTATTGCCTAATATTTGGATGCTAAGTAAATACATCAAAACAGATACTGACACGTAATGACTAGCACGTAATAAAAATAAATACGCTTCACTTCTATAAAAATGTGTGTTATGTTGTTTTACTTCCCGCTATGTGGGATTTTACTTTCGATTTAGTTGGATTGAATTAATTGACTAAGGAACTACAGAAACATGTCTTTATTGTCTGACTTTCGGATTTACAATGTTGTTCTCAACGACGGTTAAGAACCAAGCCGACGTACAAACTTCGCGGTGCGCGGTTGCCGCGTCTATATTAAAATATAAATAAAACTGTCTTTAACATGCTCCCCCCATTGGAAACTTGCAGAAGTTTTCAATCTTCACTATCTTCTACTGGTAACGGGCAGATCTTGGCAACTGATCTGCGGATGATACCACTGGAGGTTCGGATGGAGGCGACTCTAACAATTTTGTCGCTACCGGATGCAACTCTATGATGCGACCAAGCATCCATTTTAGTGGAGGTAAATGATCTTCCTTGATTACGACGAGTATGCCCTCCTTCACAGGTTGATTATGGTACTTCCACTTGGTTCGCCTTTGAAGCTCACTGACAAATTCTTGCGACCATCTTTTCCAAAAATGCTGGTTGATTTGCTGCACCAGCTGATAGCGAGAAAGACGGGATATAGGAATACTTTCGAGTGTTGGGTCAGGTATAGATGTCAAAGGTTGACCAATAAGGAAATGAGCTGGGGTTAATGCTAAGGAATCGTTGGGATCATTGGATAACGGACTTAAGGGTCGCGAATTCAGCACTGCCTCTATTTCAGCTAACAAAGTTGATAACTCTTCGTATGTAAAGATAATATTTTTTGTTACGCGTTTAAGGTGTAATTTTGCTGACTTGATACCTGCTTCCCAAAGCCCCCCCATGTGCGGCGAATAAGCTGGTATGAAGCTCCAGGACACACCGATATCGTTTAAAGACTCACCTAAGGTATTTTCGTTAGCGTATAAGAATTTTGATAACTCTTTGAGTTCATTATTTGCTCCGGTAAAATTAGTACCATTATCTGAGTGAATCTGCGACGGCTTACCTCGTCTGGCGCAAAACCTTCGAAACGCGGCCAAGAAGGCTTCCGTAGTCAGGTCACTTACGAGTTCCAAGTGAACCGCTTTAGTTGTGAAGCAAATAAATAGGCATAGATATGCCTTCCAAGATTTTACTCCTCGACCCTTTCTTTCCTTGAGTTGGAAAGGACCCGCGTAATCAACACCTGTTGTGTTAAATGGAGGAGCCGGGGAAACTCTAGCTTGCGGCAGGTTTCCCATAATAGGATTTGTTTGATATGGTTTAGCTCGGAAACAATCCACACAAGAACGAACAGTTTTTCTGGCCAAGCTTCGTCCAGATAAGGGCCAAAATTTATTTCGAATTGAGGACAATAAAAGTTGTTGTGATGCATGGAATAACCGAGTATGTTCATGTTCGAAAATGAGTTTGGTTAAAACATGTTTATGGTGTAGTAAGATCGGGTGTTTTTTGTCATAAGAAAATGAAGAGGCTTGCAATCTGCCCCCAACTCTCAAAATGCCCTCCTGATCCAGAAAAGGGTTGAGATCTGAGCAACGAGATGTTTTGGGTAATGGTTTGTGATTTAACAAAGCTTGCCTTTCCTCTGTGAAACTTTCGATTTGAGCTAGTTTTGTCAAGGTTAAAAGAGCTTGATTGAGTTCGACTGACGTCAAGACCCCTACCTTTCGACCGGAACGTTTTGCCTTTAGATTAAAAATAAACCTATGTACATATGCCATTGTTCGCCTTAAACGATTGAACTTAGAAAAGTTCTTGAACGGAAAGGTTATGGCAGGATCAGTAACTAGAAATGTTACGGTTTGTTTACGAAGCTCTGGAATTGATGCCAACAGTTCTTGTTTATGACTTGGCCAAGAATCTGAAGACTGAGATAGCCATGGTGGACCAGACCACCAAAGGGACGATTTCAATAAGAATTGTGGGGTACACCCTCGCGATACGATATCCGCAGGGTTCTCTTTAGTTCTGATGTAGAACCAACGATCTGGGGTTGTGGTCTGCTGAATCTGTGACACTCTGTGTTGAACAAATGTCTTTAAAAGATTAGGTTGCGTTTTGATCCAGCACAACACTACGGAGGAATCACACCAAAGAAAGATCTCGCTGATATCCAAATTCAAGGAAGCCTCTGTTTTCTTCACAAGCTGTGACAAAAGAAGCGCCCCACACAGCTCCAGCTTGGGAATTGTTAGGGATTTTAAGGGAGAGACCCTAGACTTTGCACAAAGAAGCTTAACGTTAATATTACCAGAGAGATCAATGCTTCGTAAAAATATACACGCGCCATAGGCTTCCAGCGATGCGTCGCAGAAACCATGGATTTCGATTTTGGTAGGACATTCGCATACAATGTGTCTTGGAATTTCACATTGATTTAGATGTTCTAGTTCTTGTCGGAACTTACACCATTTGGTATGTATTTCAGTTGGGAGTGATTCATCCCAACTAACTTTGATCATCCAAAGCTGTTGCATTAGTATTTTTCCCACTATAATGCAAGGACTGACTAGTCCAAGCGGGTCAAATATTTTAGATATGTCTGATAAAATGGACCTTTTACATACGGATCCATCTGATTGATTTATTTTGATTTTGTAGGTCAAATTATCACCTTTGCAGTCCCAAAAGAGACCTAATGTTTTAGTACCTTCGTAATCGCCGAGCTTTAATAAAGCTTCTGGGTTGGTAGCCTGAACATGGTTCAAAACGTTTTGATTATTAGATGCCCACTTTTGTAGTTGAAAGCAGCCTCTTTGTAGGATAATGTGTAGCTCATCACATAGCTGTTTGGCTTCACTTTCTGTGGAACAACCAGTGAGTACATCGTCCATGTAAAAGTCTTCCAGTATAACCTTCGAAGTTTTAGGAAATTGAACTGAGCTTTCTGAAGCCAATTCCTTGAGGCAACGGACGGCTAACCATGGTGCCGAAGCAGTGCCGTACGTAACCGTATTTAACTGGAATGTTTGAATATTGTCTGTCGACTCATCCCTCCAAACAATACGTTGTAAAGGGCGTTGATTTAACTGAACCAGGATCTGGCGATACATTTTAATGATATCTGCACAAAGCACTATTGGGTATTGCCTAAATCTTAACAAGATAGAGATAAGATCTTGTTGGATTGTAGGGCCTATTAGTTGGATATCATTAAATGACAGACCGGACGTCGTTCGACAAGAGGCGTCGAAAACGACTCTAAGTTTTGTCGTTTGATTACTTTCGTTGAACACGCCATGGTGAGGGAGAAAGTATTCTACCTCTGGCACTTTCGAGTTGTTGACCTTAGACATATGACCCAGATTATAATATTCCATCATAAAATCGGTATACATT